CGCCGAGGAGGCGTTGACCGGGGATGTGACGGCCACCACGTCCCTGCGCCGCTTCGGGGTCCTGCAGGAGATGGGGACAGGAGGTGGCGGGGAGTCAGGACACCTGGGTTGTCCCCCAAAATCGGGCAGGGGAGGGGAAACCTTCCAGGCTTGTGTGGTCCCCGCTCACCTCTGTGGGTTCTTGTTGATGGACGTCACCTTCCAGGGTGGCCTGAGACAGCGGGAAATCGGTCAAAGGATCTGCCAGGAGCAGCCACCGGACCCCCCACCCAGGGCAGCCCCACGCACCCAGCCTGGGGGACCCCCCGTGATGGGGACCCCCCTTCCCCTGACGGCACCTGGGGATGATGATGGAGTTGTGAAGGAAGTTCTCAAACTTCTTCTGGAAGGATTCGGCTTCGCCCTCCATGCGGAGCTGCCCGTCGGCGGGGCGGCAGGGACAGCACCGCTCCTCGGCATCCTGCTCCACCTCGGGGCCATCCCCGTCCCCGAAGCGAGTGTCCGCGCTGCTGGTGGGCAACTTCAGACCTGTCGGGCAGAGATGGGCAAGGCTGGCACCGCTGCCGGAGCCCGGTTCGGTGGGACCATCCCCATCCCGTCGATGTCCTCGGCCGCTGCATCCGCCCCACCCGCGCTGCCCGTGCCCGGCAGCCCTCACCTTTGTGGCAATAATCGTTGACGTAGAGCTCCATGTCCTCGGCCAACTGTTGCCACAGCACCAGGTAGTAAGTGATGTTACCGTTACGTTGCGTGGGCGGCTTCCAACGTACCACGATGTGGGAGGAGGAGTTGGACATGGAGATGACATCCCGGGGCACCGTCGGGGCTGGATGATGGACAAGGGGATGTCAGTTCATAGGGGGGGGGGCTACCATGGGTATTCCTCGATCCCCTCCCCAACCCCTTACCCGCCGGCATGGTGCGGATGTAGACCACCTCGCTCTGCGCCCCGTAGTTGCGTCCTTCCTCGGCAGTGGTGAGGGTGATGGCGCGGACGAAGATGGCGTATTGGGTCCAGGGACGGAGGTTGAGCAGGGCAACCCCCGGCGCTTGCTCGCTGCTGAGCGGTAGCTCCACGTCCAGCACGTTCCAACTCTGTGCCCCACAAGCATCCTGCCCCACGTACTCCGACACGTTCTGGAAGGGTCTGCCCCATACCGGGTGTCGGGGAGGGTCCCGGGACCCCCACCCAGCCACACAACCCCTCTGGGCACAAGGAGACCATGAGCTGGGGTTCCCAAGCCTTCCCTGATGGGGACAAGTTGGGGACGAGGACCACTTACGACTCCTTGTAGTAGACGATGAAGCTGAGGAGGTCCCGGTACTCGGGGGGCCGGTATCGCTCCCACTTGAGGAAGATGCGGTCGGATTCGGTGATGTTGGAGATGAAGCGGAGGGTCTGGGTCTTACCTGCGGAGAGGAGGCAAAGGTTTGGGTAGGGGGTCACGGCGCTGCCGGGTGTCCCCGTCCCCCTACTCACAGGACGCCCGGTCCCCGTTGGTGCGGGGGTTGATCTCCGCCTTGTTCTGCCGTCCCTTGGTGCCCGTCACCTCCTCCATATGGTAAATCTCGGCCAGGCACAGCTTGGGGTTGAAGGCAAAGTACATCTTGCCCACGGGGATGGAGAGGACGTGGTGGCTCCAGTCCCAGAGCTGCTGTAGGTTCTGGTTGTCCAGGACGTACAAGGTGTAATTCCTGAAGGAGAAGAGGCGGATGGAGGCGATGGGCACGGGCACCCCCAAAACCCACGTGTTCCCTGTCAAACCCACAGCCCGTCCTCACCCATCCACCATGGAATCGCCGCGGATCAGCTTGAGGTTCTTGAAGAAGGACAAGGAGACGAGGGCGAAGGAGTGCTTGATCTTCAGGAAGCCCGTGATGGTCTCGATGAGCCCCAGGCTGCTTTGCAGCTCCGAGGCCAAGTTATCTGGGGAAAACCCGCGGGAAGGGGGGGTACCCCCATATTAATTCACCCTGCAAGGGAAAAGACCCCCCGCTTCCTTCT